TGTCTTTCTATTTTATATCAGCTGTTAAAACTCTCGATATTGTACCTTTAAAACGAAGTCATTTTGTAGGCATATATATATTATACTTGATTGGATGTATACAATAGTGATAGTGTCTCATGTCTTCATTTATTTTGTTCTATTGGTACTGACACGTTCTTAGGTATTTCGGAAATCAATTTATACTCAGATATCAATTTTTGTAATGGACTGTTCTCTTCTATGGGTCGTAACGTGCATACCGTAAGTTATTATCGTTTACTAAACGATTTTCTGTTTTTCATACTTTTATTTATTTTATTTGCATTCGTGTGTATACGATTATTTCTATTATCGAATGTACATTTACTTTTTTTTCTTGTAGTGTAATAAACGCACCTAAAAAAATCATCATTGTATATTTCTACACCTACATCTAAAATCACTCAGATTCAACTGATTCGTGTACATCTGTAGTCAATCTTTGGAGCATATTTGTCTGAAAGATAAAAAAATACCCAACTTCTTTTAAAAGATAGTTGCAATTTTAAGCACTTACCCATACACACGTGCATATCCGCACATTCATACATGTATGTCATGACTCAAATCCAGATATAGTCCGACATGGAAGCCTTTCAGATATATATAAATCCAGATGTATGTGTGGTTTCAATCTTACGCATGCTCTCATCTGGCCGGGCCACTATGCTCTTCTCCACACCATAGTGGGCAAGAACGACGGCAGCGTGCAAGATGTTCGGTACTTCGAGTGCACCGCTAAGCACGGATCGTTCATCCGCCAGTCGCAGGTGCAGCCTCTGCACACACCCACCCCTGTTGTGAGCACCCCTACGCAGACTCGTGTGGTGGCGGGAGGGTCTAGCATACCCACACGCGTACATACACCGACGTCTCCCGCTACCACACGCAGCCCCACCTCTCGCTTGCCGAGGCCCGGGGCAACCAGTTCGGTACCTCGGTCCAAGGCAACGCCCATGCAGGAACCGCGCATCGGGAAGGCGAGTGTCAGCCCGAGCGTAAGAGCTGGTACCAGCTCCGCTAGCCCGAATAGCAGCAGAGCTGGAGCTGGTACCAAGACACCTGCTCAGAGTACTACCAATATGCAGACACCTGCTGGCTCGGGTGTTCGTGCGGGTGCGGTGGGAGTGAGTGACTCTAGGCTGGCCAACTCTCCGCGTGCTAGTGGTGCTACGCCCCACGCTCAGGTATTGTCTGAATTTGTATATTGAGTATCATTTATTTGTACTCGTATTGGTGTACCTTCGTTTTTATGCGAGTTCTATCGGTAATTAGTTTTTACGGGAATTCTATTGGTAATATAGGGTCAAGTGTTTTTATTATCATTCTTAGCTCAACAGGTATGCACCTGACTGCACACTCATGTTTCACATGCGTATACACACAACCCGATTTTAATACACCTGTGAGAGATCGTGAATCGTTGTATCGCATACCTTACTACATTCGCAGAAGAACTTGGTTGAGCCTATCACTACTGCGGTAGTGGACGATGGAGAGGTGCTGCGACTGACAGAGAGAATTACAGAGCTGGAACAGCAGAAGGCGCAGGAGTACAAGGACCACGAGCGTACCAGATTGGCCCTGGAACAGGTGTGCGTATAGTGCAAGTATATCGATGTTATTATGGGGTTACACACCAAACAGGTGGGTATAATAGTCCAAGTATACTGATGTCTTTATTTGATAAGCGACTAATCATGTCTAAAAATGTACGTAGTAGAATGTATGTCGTGTGTGTATATCCAATTTATATATAT